AACAGGGCCTAAGAGTTCATTTTCAAAACTATAGTTGCATGATGTTTGCTTACAATATGATTATTGAGGAATTTCTTTGTTTCAGTTTTTGTTTTATGAAAAAAGTCATTTATTTTTTGCAAAAAACTATTTTTTTTGAAATTTTACTGTCCTTGTTTAAATTTTTAAAAAATTTAAATCTAATAACAATATATTTCTAATTAATTTAATAAACCATTTTGAAAATGAATGCAAATGTCATAAAAAATGGAGATACATAAAGATAAATAATAAAATTTTAAAATAGTTAAATAATAAATTATTTTTATAAAACATAAATCTATGAAGCCAAGGACGGAGCTAGGAATTTTTACTAAGAGAGGCTGAGATGATAAAGTATACTCCCTCTATTTAAAAATGTAAGGCATTTTTTGAGAAGTTTGATGTTAAAAAATGTAAAACATTTTTAATCTTTTAAAGTGTAATCATTATCTTTTTTTAAAAGTGTACCTATTGATAATTTATATTTATTGTTGGGTGTTTAATAGGGATAAATATGAAAAAATAGGATTAGTTTGAAAGTAATTAACTATTTTTTTGGGAGTGAGATTCAGTTAAAAATGCCTTATATTTTTAAATAAAAAGAGTATATGATAATTAAAATAAAGTTATATGTATATATATTACCGACATAATATAAATATTTTAACATATATATTTATATTCAATTTTACACATATATAACAATATATAAATATATATTAAGTTTATCTCATTGATTTTTTATGGGATAAAAATTATTAGTTGTTATGTGTAAGATAAATGTTTTTGCAATTTCCTTCTCAATATAAATTATTATTAAATTAGTAAAAATTTTATCATCCCTGTGAGCATTAAATGATTTAAATACATCATTGAAATCTAAATTTATATTTAATATAATAAACTCTATTACTTGCTTATTAAATTTATTATTTAATTCTTTTAATTGATAATAGTAGTAAATAAATATATTAACACATTAATAATGCTCAATTGTCATAAAATTTTTATATTAATAAGATGAAATTATATTAGAGTAAAAATCATTTATATCGTAAATTTTAATATCTTAATTATTTAAAAAGTAATTTTTTTAGAAGAATATCTTCACTAAACCTCTCAACTTTTAGATAAATAATTTTATGATAGATATTAAGTATATAACATTTCATATATATTGAAAGTTTTATTGCAGTGCTTAACAAAGTTTATTAATAATAATTTTCATAATTTCTTTCATTAAATGTAAAATGAAAACAAAATAAAATGACATCAATATTTTAAGAGCATGTATAACATTATCTTATTTAAAATAAGTAAATCTTATGACACTCATATATTTAAGCTATTGAAATAGTTGCTTTATACACACGTAAAAGACTAAATATATAATTAAAATTAGAATTATATCTAATATTTCATAACTTTTATAATGTACCAACTTATGAAAGTCAAAAATATATAACCCCTACATTTTATTAAGAAAAAATTAAAAAAAGTGAAGGGGGCCATGGCCCTTGCCAATACCCCTCTTTACACACTATAATATCTAAAAATAACTAATTACCAACCTTTTTTTAATTATTGTAACCAAATATAAAGCAATGTCTTTACTTTTTATAACATTTACTCCCTCCCTTAAAAAATATAAGGCATTTTTTGAGGAGTTTGATGTTAAAAAATATAAGGCATTTTTAGTTTTTTGAGGTGTAATCATTACCTTTTTTCAAAAGTGTCCCTATTAATAATGACTTTATATTTATTATAGGGTGTTTAATAAGGGTAAATATAGAAAGATATGATTAGTTTGAAAGTAGATAACTACTTTATTGTGGGATAAAATTTGATTAAAAATACTTTATATTTTTAACGGAGGAAGTATACAATATAAATATCTTTTTATAAAACCTATACATTATCTAAAAAATTACTTTTTTTATTTTAAACAAATGAGCCATACTCCTTATGAAAATTTTAATAAAATAAATTTCAAAAAGATGATGTAAACGTTCATTTTTGTTATACAATTCCAGTTATCATAAAAAAAAAAAAAAGTAGTTAAATGGGGGGCTCTGGACGCTTGGTTCAATTAGTTAATAATATTAAATTAATTTATTTTGAAATCTTGAATTTAAATCTTAAAATATATAATTATGTCAAATAAATATATCAAAAACTTTTTTAAAATACCCGAGATAAGTTGCCATTAATATATAATAACAATATTGGGGTCCGGATTGTTAAAATGAATTTAATAATTTAAATTTGATGGTTTTTACAAATATAAATTAATTGTTAAAATTTGACCTCAATGATCCAAATTTGCGGTGGAGAAATCGTAGTGGAGAAAAATATCTTTGAGCACTTGAAATATCTCTTGTCCCTCTTTGAAAAAAAGGAATTTATTATTTCTCCGTCTTTCGCTTTTTTATTGTCATTTTCTTCGGCCCCCAAATATGAATGAGAGAATAAGGAATTCCTCCAAAATGTACAAATTTTCTATCATGTCTTCAATAAAGTTGTATATTTCAATTATTTTTTAATTTAAGTATTGGTTAATGATGTAATATCTATTATTCTCTCTGTTTAAAAATGTAAGATATTTTTTTAAAAAATTAAATGTTAAAAAATATAAAGTATTTTTAGTCTTTTGAGGTATAATTATTTTCTTTTTTTTTAAGTATCCTTATGAATAATGACTTTATATTTATTGTAAGGTGTTTAATAAGAATAAATATAAAAAGATATAGCTAGTTTAAAAGAAAATAACTACTTTATTGAGATGAGATGAGATTAAAAATATTTTATATTTTTTAATTAAGAGAGTATATCCTTATCTATATTCTATGACAATGATCTTTTCTTTATAAAATGAAATCTATCATTTAATAAAATGATAGATTTCACAAAACATTTATCCGCTTCACTTTTTTCCTAAATTGTTTTTATTTGTAATAATGATTCAAACAAGACTGGAAAGCAAATTAACAAACTACTACTGGTATTTTCAATTTTGTCCGACCTAATTATGAGACTCGATTTTTTTATTCACAGATATTAAGAAATTAAACATGTTAGGTTAATTGATGTCTAACATATTTTTGTTTCTTTTCAATTTTGGCCTCAATTATATGTCATAAAGGGCATTATAATTAGGATCACCAACCCCAATAAATTGGCTCTTGTAATTAGGGATTATTGTTATTGCCCAATAAAACAAGAATTATCAAAATTAAGTGACTTTGGCCTATTTAGATAATTCTCAAAAATACATTCAAACCATATTTGAGATGCCTTTTTATCAAATTTAATAAATAGTTAGATCTTCTAAATAAAATGTATGTTCGAGTAGGGGAAAAAATTAATTTTTTACCCCAAAATTGATTTTTTCAGCCAATTTATCCAAACACCGAGAAAGGCTCAAAAATCGATTTTGAGACAAGACGTAAGCTCTCTCTGTCAACTTTCTGCCAAAATTATTAAAAAAAAATGATAAAGAAAGGCCCACAAAAAAATTATAAATAAAGTACATAATTTAATAAAAATAAAATCAAACTCTCTTCTCTCATCTTTTTTTTTTAATAAAATTCAGATTTTGTATCCTCAAAAAATTAATATTTGATATTTAAGAATTAAATTATACAGTAATTTATATAGCTAAAATTAATTCTAATTGAATTATTTAAATATCTTCAATTATGTTAAAATTAATTTTTAAAAAACAATATCTAAACAGATTGCGCTATAACATAATCAATTATGATTAAAATCTATCACTTAATTAATTATTTTTATAATCTATTATACCTAATTAAAATTCAAACGAACACAAACTTATTAGATATAAACTGAAAACCAAACAAATATCCTAAATATAGTCACCATGTTATCATTTTCCCTTCATACAAACTTTTCACAAAGAATTAATTATATTTTCTTGTCAAATCCTTAAGTGGGTTTTAAGCATCAATACAAAGTATTTTCTAAATAAAAAAACGCATGGTTTATAATGTGTAAATAATGTTTATAAAAAATCAAAATCATTTGTCAAAGATATCTGTAGAGTAGAGCGATTTTCTTTTCTTTTTCTTTTTATTATTTAAGTTCAACTACAAAATCAAGCAGGCAAATAGTAGTTGTTTAGGCTCCGTTTTGTTATAAAAAAGCAATAAAATAAAACGGATTGAAAAAATTAAGATAAAAAATAAATTAAATCACATTTTTATAATAAATATAATAAAATTTATTAATATTATACTAGAAATGTGGGAATCATTATATCCTCAAAAAAATTTCATGAATCATGATTCTCAACTCTATAAATTAAATTACCCCTTCCTTTTGTGAAAGTGTTTATCTATCTCTTTGATCATCTTATTTTTACTTTTATTTTTTCAATCAATTTCATTTCATTTTTTTACAGTAAGCAAATGAAACCTTAAGTTAATACAATTAAAAAGATATCAAAAATTACAATTTAAAGACTCGCACCAATTATTCCATCCATCTGGCATTTCTTCGAACCAGTGAAAACGAAAGAACATTAGCAACTGAGTGATATCCTTCCAGACCAAGAGAGATTCTGGATTTGCTTTGGATTTCCATGGCAGATTTATGATAAGCTTTGAGTCCTTAAAAACTAATGAAATATCACAAACAAAAAAACAAAAAAAAATCCTAGAGGGCCAAAATCTTCCAAATCGGTGATTCACTTAATAGCAGATCTCAACTCTTTCAAAAGAAGGGCTAGTGGATCGCCTTTAGTTAGGTCAAATGATTTTCTTGTCATCCAAAAGACATAATATTCATTACCGTGTGTGTGTGTCTTTATATAACAAAACCTTCACCAAAAAAAAAAAAAAACATAATATTCATCACCGTATATATATTGAGTCCCATGAAGAGTGATTGATAGGTTTTTCCTCTTCCTATATATCAAGTGATGATTCCTGGTTTTGATGATGTTCAGAAAAGCATCATAAAGAGATAATGTTACTAAATAATATATGGGAACACAGAAAGAGAATAATGAGATTTCAAAGTTTATGTATATATATATATATATATATATATTTTAATTTTAACTACTGAAATAACACTGAATCAGCAACAATGTAATTTTTAGTCTAATGATTCAACAAGGCCAGAACTCAGCCCTTTTGACCTTTGAGATGCTCTCAAGAACTCCCACAGGAGATATGTGCCCCATCACTGTCACCCTCTTCGTCTCCAAGTCAATGCTGAATGATGTCACCCCTTATACATACATGTATACACACACAAAAAATGTTATTATTCATTAGCAAAGCTCCATAAGTAGAGTATAAGTAACATCAAATTTTGATTCACCTCAAAATGTAAGCAAAAATTAAGAAAAAAATTTCATGCTAGGAGCTAGATAGAATTGGTTTATAAACAAAATAATATAAGTAAAAATAATCATAAACATAATCCTTAAAATTTTAGGTTGAAATATTGTATAATCAACTCACTTTTATATTTTCGTTCAATTTTTGTTTAAAATTGTTTTTTTCACAATCCAGTAGAGTTCAGGGAGGAAAGGTAAACTTTAATCCATAAATTTAAACTAAATGACATTCTAATTTGGTCCAAGCAAGTGAGGGAATGGATATTTTCAAAAAAAAAAAAAATATAAGGTATGTTTTATTGAATCTCACCCTCAATAAAGTAGTTACCTACTTTTCAACTAACTCTATCTTTCTATATTTACTCCTATTAAATACCTTATAATAAATATAAAGCCATTATTAATAAGGGCATTTTTAGAAAAAAAGGCAATGATTACACCTCAAAAAATTAAAAATATCTTACATTTTTAAACGGAAGGAGTATAATTTTACCATAAACAGATTTTAATTATATTTATATTTATGTATAACATATCAATTCGATTAAAAAATTGTACCATTATTTATAAGGTATGAGCATTATTAACCTGCCTCACTCAATGCAGATCACATGAGCGTAGTTTTGGTTACATTTATTTTGTTTTTTTGCCAACAGCTACATTTATTTCAATGTAGGAAATGAAATATGTGTGTGTATATATATATATATTTATATTTATTGTTTTGTCAGAAGGAGTGAGTAAAAGAGTTTAATAAGAGTCAAACACAAAAGGTTCTGTTCAGTCAAAAAGTCATGCGTGTGATATGGTAACATAATTGGGGAGGTACACCACGTCATCCATTATTGGTTGCGGTTGTATTAAATATAAATTAATTTTAATATTAATAATAATAAAAAGAGAAAAGACAAGAAATTAAATAATATTTTATTATAAAATAAAATTATTAAAAATAAAAATATACAATATTTTATTTGATTGCATTTGGTGCAATTTGATTAGATGGTACATAAATAACATGATATACCGAATTTATATAAAAATTTCTTTTCATGTATTTGCTACTTTCAATCTAGGGGTGAAGATGAGCTAGATCCAATTATGCTTTGACTAAATAGGCTTGAACCTATGTGATATATCAAAAGCTTAGACCTAACTTAAAACCTATATAATGCCTTTTTCACAGTTCAAACCTAAGTTTACTTAAAGTATGACTTGGTCTGGAAGTCTATTTAAAAACATACATAAAAGTATACATTTTAAACAAGCTTACATAAGCTCTAAAAGTCTCATATAAGTTGTAGGATTATTAAAGATTATATATATACAACCTAATGTACCAAATAAAATGCATAATAAGTAAGAAGACTAATGAGCTACAACACAATAACAAAATTAAAATCAATACATGTGTAAGTCTAATCTAATTGAAAATATAATCAAGAAACTAGAAATGAAAAAGAACACATTGATTAAAAAGCAAAATGTTAAACTGACATATCATAAATTCACCATACAAAATATAATAAAAAAGAACATAATCAAGAAAAAAAAAACTATCTAATGCTTTCAAATTTTGATCTAAAAAAAAAAGAATGAAAAGGGGCTAAAGAAATGGGTGAAGTTGATTCTATCTAAATTTCTAAATTAAATATTATATATTACAGCATTATATATACATAATATATTATATAATAATATGCATGTAAATAGGTTGACCTATAAAGCTTATAGGTTAGGCCTTATAAAAATAGGCCTAACCTATTTGTATAAATAAAACTAATCAAAGATCTAAATTTGATTTAACTTATTTAGTAAATAAATTAAGTTTGATTCAAAATAGATTCTTAGCCTGTAAACCTTTTAGTAGCGGCCTGATCTACTTTTACCCTTATTTCAATCCCACTTTCAAAATTTCATCATTGCATTTCAATTCATTAGTTTCTAATGAACAGAAATAAATGGCTGTGATGTTAGTATTCGAGGTAGTTGAGAAGGCATGGCAATCTAATCCAATATAATAATACAATATTCTACCTCCATCTTAATATAAGAAAAAGTTAATCAACCTCAAATTTATTAAAAATAATAGTTATATCTTTAAAATTATTAAAAAATGTAACTTTTCAATTTTATTCTTCTTTTTAATTAATAATTATAATAAATAAAATAAATTAGAAAAGAAATTAATTACTCTAACTTTTTCTCATATCCTAAAAAAAAAAACTCATAAACTTGGCAGGAGGGCGTATGCATATATGTGTGTGTGTTTATTTTTTTATAATATATATGTATATATATTTTTCAATGCAACGGTCATGATAATATTGGTATTGGTAATGCTACTTAATTTATTGATTGATTAAACAGAACATTAGGGTGCAAAAAGTTCGAAGAATATTGCATAAAATAGACAGATGAGGATGATAATTACCTTCCATCTTGGAGAGATGCTTTTTGACTTTGCCAGCGCATCCTTGACAATGAAGAGCCACCTTCATCACAACCACCTGCAAAAACAACAATCATTCAATATTCCTCATCACTTCACTGAAACCCGCAACTCTGTTATCAACCATCTTCTTCTTCAATCAAATCCCTCTGCATCTTCTTCTTGCAATTGAACTCAAAAATTGAAGATATCCTTGTTTTTATTTGTTAGGAAGAGAGAGAGAGAGAGAAATGATAGGGTACATGAATAAAATAGAAGTTTCACACATAATCATTTTGCGTTCCGTGAGGAATATTCATGGGGAAGGGTCAAGGGCAAAGGCACGTGAAAGATCTTGGAACTTGACAAAACTGCGCGATACAGACAAATTATGGAGAATCCTTATCTTCTTCCTCGCTCCACCTGTGATTTATCTGGTATAGTCCTAATCCTTTTGATCTAATAGTAATAACAAGTCATTGATGAAGGAGAAAAGGGGATTGTTTTCTTCCTTCAGTCCACTTGATCTTGCCCTGCTTTTTAATTTGGGATCCAGACTTTGATCACTTTCTTGAGAATCATCGGACAAAAAGTGCAGCTATGTTGTAGCATATTGGCAGTTCTTTAATAAAACTGAATTGAAAACTTGATCCGATATAGTAGAATACCGAGCGTGCATTAATTACAATGAGCAAGAGAAACAAGAGAATCTCCATAAATATGTAATAACTTAGCTGACCTGAAAGACTTGATCTGTAGGTGTTTGATGAAATAGCCTTGGCGCTTTCTCTTGATCTAGACTTCGCTCCCTCTTCTGCTTGATCTTTGGTACAGGAACAGACAGTGCTTTCTTATCAGCAGGCTCGAACCGGCGAGGCTCAATGAGTTTGGAGTACTTAGGGTAGTTGATGAGTCTGGTATCATCTAGAAAAATGCTTCTGTCAGGCCTTCTAGGCACTACCACCGACCGATGGTCGCCGGTGCTCATGCACACCGCCGTTGATGCCTGAGAGTGGCACATGAAACCCCTCCTCATTTTCCTGTTAGTGCTCTTCAGGCTCATGATAACGTCCCAGAGAGATACAGATAGAGAGCCTCTAAAGGAGAAGATGAATAGGCGAAATGGTGAACAGAAGGTGTAGACTTTATCACAAGTTTTTTGAAGGTAACAAAAGTGGGTCTATTATGAAAATATGGTTTTTATTTAATCTAATGCAAACATGATGGTTCTTACTTCTTAACTGAGAAACAGTAGGAGAAAATGACAAGATGATAGGAGAGACATGCTGTCATTATGACTTAGCTAACAATGGGTTCACTGGCAGTGTAGAATCCTTTTGTCATTATATGTATTCTGCATATGCCTATGATCTGAATGGATCCAAGATCCTGTCCTTTTCAGTTGTTAATGCTGCAAAATTGGCAACGACCCTTTTTTCCATGAATATTAGGGATATTTTATTAAACGGTTGTTTCACTGGGGGTGAAAATAAGAGGAAACCAGAATGAACACCCTACGCTAGTTTCTTCTCCGTAACCTTATTTGTAGGTGTAGTCATTTTCTTTTGCTTTCTCAGAGAAGTTGGCCACATAGTGAAAAACTGAAGGCGTAGTTGGAAATACATTGAATGGTCAAAAGAGTTTTAGGCGCAGAAAGGGATTAGAACAGAAAAACCAATGAGCGGAAGATGCAGACTGAGTTTGCAAATGTTGAGTCTTTCATAAACAGAGCTGGAAATGCTGACAGCTAACTCTTCACGGTTACATGGCCTAAAGAGTGAATGGGTAGAAAGAAAATATTCTCTTTTTATGGCAAAGCCTACAGTGCCAAGCTTTTCAAATTTACCTCCCTTGTTTTAGAAGGAAAGAGAGTGATTCCTTTTTAAAAACACGTGAAGTTTATTCAGACTGAGAGAGCTTTTATTGTATTTAAGTGGGTTCTTAGCCAATAACATGGTGAACTCCGCTTCTGAAAGCGCTCGAAAAAGAAGACTTTTTCTTGTTAACCCAAAGTTAAATCCTTAGAGTATCATGTAGCTCGTCAAGATGGCATGAAGTTCACAACAGTGAAATTAGGAGAGAGAAACTGATGGGTCCCAAACTATTGGATTTCACTCTCCTCTTTTCATAACTTAATCTGAAAGCTCACTTTAGGTGATCATGATTTTTATGTGAAAACAAACATATAAGTATCTTCTGAGTTTAGATCTTCCTAGTTTCCCATTGAAATAATAGTGCCAATTTGGGAAATAAGTAAACATAAAATATATAGGATCCATTTCTATGATTTTTTTTTTAATAAGCTTTCGATGATGATTTTATTTGAATGTGTAAGATTTACTTCAATGAAAGATGATATATTATGTGTTTATTTTTCTCCAACATTATCAGGTTCACTGCTCTGGTGTATGGTCGTAGCTGGTGAAACAGAAACAGAGCTAGTTACTAGTTAGGACCAATGGCATTATATTTTGATCATGCATGAAGTAACAGATATATGAAGCATTCATGGGGTAGGAGATAATGACAAAGGTAAGGTCATAATCAAGTAATGTCGTATATTTTATTTTAATTCTGAATTTATTACCCATACTTAACCATATTTAATATTTATCTCCCAAAGGCAATATTCTTGTCAAGAAGTATAAAGGTCAATGCTTCAGAAAAGGCAACATTTCAGAAAGGTGGCTACCAAATTATAATCATAAATATAATTATTTCAAAGTTTTTACTTAGCTTTAAAATGTGAATGCCAGATTTTTAAAAAGTTAGAGTTTGAGAACTTTGATATGAAATTTCTTTAAAGTTTGTTGTAATTTTTTAAAACCTGAGATTAAACTTAGTAATAACTTAAATTCTTATAAATAACTATAATGAGCCTATTTGGCAACCTGTTTTGAAAATAATTTTTTGTTCTTCATAACAAAAAAAACAAAAAAAATCTGTTTGATAATGTATTTTTAAAAAGTATTTTGAAAAATAAAAAAATAAAATATTATTCTAAAGAACAGAAAAATGAAAATAATTTTCAGATGTTTTTGAATTATTTTTTAAAAAATAAGAGAGGATGGTAAAAACACTTATTTTCATTAATTTTTTTTTGTTCTCAAAATATATTTTACAAAACACCAATTCTTAGAGCAATAAAATAAATACACTTTCAAATAGCCCCAATATAATCTTTAGATTCTTTAATGGACACATTGTAAAATTTTGGTCCTTAATTTTTCCAAGTTGTTTTGTGCCAGTTGCTATGAAGGGGTAGCATTAGCCCAGAAAATGCCAATATTATTTTTTTTTCCTTTTTGCATTTTTCTGAATTAGTTTATCATTAATTAATAACGAAGAACAATCCCACATAATAAAATCAATCAAGAGTAAAATTATCAGTTCCGAATGATGATTGTACAGTATACAAAACATCAGATTTAGGGTAAATGAAGTAGTACCGATAGGAAACTAAGCATGGTGCTCTGATTCTGAACTGAACATCAGATTCAGAGGCAGGCTATGAAGAATGATTTTCTGGGGAAAAAAAAATTGACTTGTACCTATATCAAATATGTAGCTGATATATGGCATCTATATTGCTGACTTCTTTTTTTCTTTTTTCTTTTTAATAAGTTTTGAAATGCACAAGGTACATAATAATTATAAAATTTATGGAGAATCTCAATGATATACAAAGAGATGAACATTGAAGTTTATATATTTCATATAAACGTTTATTTCTCTGTTATTAATGATTTGGTGAACTTTATACAATGATGAGGGCAATGAACAGTGAGTGCAATAAGTACTGGAGCAGCAACACTAATAGTGCATAACTACTTTTACAGAAGAACACCATGTGAAGTTATTAATGGGCTTCAGTCTCTTAATTCCTTCTTCTGCACCTTCTGCTTTTCAAAAGATGTTAAATCTTAGGACCACCATAAAACCTTTAAGGTTGACCTTATCCTTCAACCAAATACAGATAATCCAACCCCAGCCCCCTCCCCCAAAAAAAAAAAAAAAAACACACACACCCACACACAGACTTATCCATCAACGAAATACAGAGAACCCACAACACACACACACACACACACACACACACTCACACACACACACACACAGTTTTAGTCAATGAGGACCACCATAGCACTATATCGACCCCTTGTGCAAGTTGCTGCAGGAACTTTTTGCTGTGACCTAGAAATCCAGCATTTCAGTTGAAGTACAGCACTAGACTTTAATGCAGCACCCGCTTTCTATATTGTGTCCTTAACTTTGATCAAGATTCAAGAACCTCCATACTGAAGCTTCGACTAGGTCTAGATCGCAGGTAAGAGATTTGGAAAGGAAGATCTGGAAATGCAAGGCTATAGATATAGCCACAACATCATTCAGGTGGAGAGGTGTTGGATACAAGCTATCATTCTTCTGGCACAAGTCAAGGGCTTGACATGTCATGATTAGATTTAGCCTAGAAGAAGAAAAACTCCTCCTCATGTAGGAGTTATGAAAATTATTGGTGCTTGCGTAGAGAGGATTTGATGTAATATGGTCTTGTATTTGAATCTTTTAAATTGGAAAAGATTTCATGTTGGGAGAGTCATCCTCATTTAGAGTCAGAGAGCCTAACGATACTTGAATATGGATAATATTAATGTCACAAAAAATGACAATGGACTATGAAATGCTCTCTGGGGTCATTATTGTAGGATATTTTCAACCGTTTCATATATATTAAGAAAAATTAATTTTTTTCTTGATATAATAAAAAAGTGCAATGTGTTTTTTATTTTTATTCTTGACTTTTAACTAATAATACAACTATATTAAATATCTTCATGTTAATTAAAAAGGGATAAAATTGAAAAAAAATAATTTAATTATTGCAAAATGTCTTATATTTTGAATAAAAAATTATTTGTAAAAGGTATCTTATAAATAGGATCGGAGGCAGTAATATTTAATGCCAAATTTTTTTGTCAAAACATCTACTGCAAATTTATTGTTGCAATTTTCATTCCCAACGATCTTTCTTCAAATGCGTGATCATGTGTTTATAAAAAAAACTCGATAGGTTTCTCCACACATTGTATGAGATATGATAAATGAGCCACATAAATAATAATATATGGATGGTGTAAATTTTTATAGTTTTTATAATACATGTTGACCTGAATTGAATTGAATTGATTCACATTTTTTGCAATCACAAAAGCTTTCTGTTGTCTTTTTTTTTTTTTTTTAAGTAATCAATTTAAACACAACTCACACCCAGATGCCAAAGCATGATTTGAACCTTGGATCTCATGTGTTGTAGAGAGATGACATTGTTACTGAGGCAACTTGCCATTAGTAAAAATAAGTTTTATGTTGTCAATAGAAAATATTGGATGAGATAAATTTCTCCTTGTTTGGTAAACTGGATCTGGGTAGGGACATGAGAAATCTCTTAATTATTGGTCCTAAGAAAATATAGGATGATCTAAATTTCTCCTAGTTTGAGAATCTTGTTTCGTAAACTGGATCTGCGTAGGGGCATGAGATATCTCTTAATTATTGGTCCCAAGTTCTACAACTAAATGTAAAATAATGAGGTGAATTAAGTCCCTAGTCTTGTGTTCGTATGAAAAGGTCATAATTTTGGAATCTAGACAAGGGTCTGGATTTGGTGAGCACGGACTTCACTGCTGCACTGGGTCTGATCTTGCAAGTGTGTGTGTTCAGCTTCATCCCCTTGCATTGTTGATTTTACAGGACATCGGGATCATGATCCAACGTCATTGGCAAGGAAAGCTTGCTGTTTCGGCGAATCGGCTTGTTTGGTTTCATGGAAAAGTGGAAGATGGAATGGAAGAAGCTGTCGCGTCGGCGAGATGCTCGTGTTTGGTTTGAATGAAACTAGACTTGATAATTTAGATCATGATCGATAGGACCAACCTGAATTTATTTAAAAAATTTAAGCCCGAATTCAAAAATACTAATAATTTTTTATTGTTTGAGTTTATTCGGGTCGCATGAATAGGCTCGAGAAAATTCGAGCCAAGTCAGATCTCCAAATAGAAAAAA